AACAATTCCAGGGATGGCRAGTCCACAACTCTGGGCAACCTGTGCCAGTGCCTCAWGACATTCTCAGTAAAGAGCTTCTTCCTAATGTCCAACCTAAACCTACCCTCCTTCACCCTTTRACCATTCCCCCTKGTCCTATCACTACRTGTCCTTGGGAAAAGCCTCTCTCCAGGTCTCTAGTAGCCACCTTTAGGTACCTGATGGCTTCTATAAGGGGTCCTTAAAGCCTTCTCCAGGCTGAAAAACTCCAACTCTCCCAGCCTGTCTTCATAGRAGAGGTGCTTCCTCTGCAGCCCTCTGACCAATTAATGTGTTCAAGTAMATGAAACAAATCCATAGTGTTTACATGCTTTAACGAATATAAATTATATTTACTGATTACTGGTTATGTGAATGAAGATTTTCTGATAAARATACCCAGAAAGAGTCCCTAAATTACTGKCCAAATACTTGTGTCTCTGGTATAYGGAGCAGATTGACATTCGGCACYGTTTTCTRTGGAGTTATAYCTGAGATAATTGCAGTTTAGGTAACTATATTTCTGTGAAATGATCATTCGAGACCTCTCAGAAAGTCTGCTTGTTTAGAAGTAATAATATATTTATGTGTTTGTTGATTTTGCTAAATGTGCCAGACACTAGGAACWAACAGCTTTGCAGCTGTTCCCAGCGTGAAAATAAGGCCTTGGAAATATGATTCTCTGGCTCTACTGATTAGCTGAGCATTGAATGTGTTTAGCAAACTGGAAGAAAGAGGATAAACTTGTAACAATGTTAAATACTGTGTAAATATTAAAGAGAGACACACTTYATTGTATATCTGTAGAAATGTCAGAGATCAGTCATAGTGAGCACCAAAAAATCTGAGATTCATTTGAATCGGTGAAACTAAATCTGGTGGTTTTCAACCCAATCTTCCAAATGGAAAGGAAATAATTTACTGTKGTTTAAGAAAGGGAGGTTTGTAGATTTCATTAGATTTCTAACACTGGGTAAATAGCTATTGTGACAGACAATATGTCTGAACACATGCACAATAGCAAAGTAGTTTGCCTTGATCACTCATCACAATGAATGTCAAATTAATTTGCAGCATCAGTACACCTCTGGAATTACAATTCTATTCATTGTGAGCTCTGGATACATTGCTGACAGTCCCTGAGTTTTAATTCTGCACAAGTCATGACTAGAAATTCCAAAGAAATAAAACATGCTGATTATCAAAAAATCAATTTCATTGTTAATTGGGGGGAAACACTGAAATGAAACTGTACTTACAGAAAGCAGAGGTAGTGGAATATTTATGTAGTAGTGCCTGTTTAAATCTRTTTCTTCTTYATTTGCTTTTGTGGGTGAGAATGAKGTCTCAGATATGAAAAACAGTAGCTTCTCTTTTCCGTTATTTTTTAACACTAAAAAATTTATTTTCTTTCTGTATCTACTAAGGTCTTTCTTTCTCTTGATTACTGGGAATCTTATTTTTTTTTCTCTCCAAGAAATGTGAGTAACTTTTGACTTAGTTTTATTAAATATTAAATTATTAAATATTTTTATTTAATATTTATTAAATATTTATTAAATAGATATTAAATATCTATTAAATAGATATTAAATAGAAAAGTTGGAGTTTTTCTCCCATCTTGCAAGGTAAACATGTGAAACCTGCTTGCAGTTATGAAATAGGATTTGCTTATATGCTTCTGATGAGAAGGGTGGTCTGGCAAACAAGAATTGCTGATAATTAAACTGATAGTTGTACTGTTTCTGCTATAAGAAACTTCTTTTGGAGATGTAACTTTTCATGCTAGGATGAAATTATTCCAGTCTATGTATGTTTTAATTTACTGCCAGGTATTTAAGGCTTATAACAATCCCCGTGTGTTAACACTTCCATTTTTTCTGTGTGCATGGAAAAATGATGTCCTGTGACATGTTTTGTTTCTTTTTTTTTGTATGTGACTTGTTTTGTTTCAAATAGGAATTAGAGTTGTGAGAACTGTGAGATCTTTCTGCTGTGCCTTGATGAACTGAGAAATCTCTCTAGATCGTAGCTATATCGTAGCACATAAGCAAAGAATTGCAGAGTTTCAGTTTGCAGACTGTGGTGCTAAGACAGTGCCACATTCCATATGTGCTGTGTGCATGTGTGGGTGTTTTATGTATATATATAAAGAGTCACTTGCTCAAGTGGTCAGCAGACTCGCCACTGGAAGATGAGTCACAGGGATAAGATGTTTTTGTTASCATCTTGGTAAAGGATTGAAGAACTGCAAACCCAGTTTCTTTCCAAGAATGGTATAATTATGCGAGCCTTTTAACATGTTTTAATGAAATTATTAAATCTAAACCAGTAAGAGATTAAAACAGAAAACGTGGTAAATACAAATAGTTTCTTGAGTGTCTGTGCAAATGGATTTTACTTCTTTATGGATCTGTGTTTTGTCATTGGATGTCTAAAGGTTTAATAAGTTAGGACCATTTCCTGCAGTTGGGCATTCATAGTGGCTCTTTTAACTGTGGATTGTCCAGAGTCTAAACGGATTAAAGCCCACTTTGAGCTCTTTTCCATAATAAATGCACTAAATTGCAAAAATATCTGAAGAAGCTTTTTTGACTTTCATAGCATGGATATGAATAGTATACTGATACTTCACAGCTTGCCTCTTGCCATCTAGTAGAAACAAACTGTCTTGGGAAGACAGTTAAAGAAGAATAATGGCAAATTGCCATTTGAAAACTGCAACATAAGAAAACAAATCATAAAAATAGATTTCATTTGCAAAGTAAAGCAATAGTTTCATTAGTAGTTTCAACAACAGTCAATGACATTACTCAACCTGAATGTTTTACAGCAGGAATACCTAAATGGTAATTTAGCRGTGATTCACAATAAATTGTTGCTGTGTTGATTTCCACTGTGGGAAATATGATAATCTGTAGAATGCATGAGAATGAAAGGTGAGAAATAAATCAAACTTACTTATAATAACCTAAAAATGTTATTGAATGGCACCAATTCTTCTGGTGCCATATGCTTGATATGTCTTTATTGTCTGCAAACAAGATATATTTTATAGTTATGGTAGTTTAACATTATTAAGTACTTCTTAAGACCAAAAATGCTTTTTTAGCAGCATTGAGTAAACTCTTGTTCTGTCTGGGCCTCCTGATGTTAACTAACAAAACTGCTTAGTTTTTCCTCATCATCTGATTAATAGTGTCTGTTTTTCACTCAATGAAAATTTGCATTCAGAGAGTCAGCAGAAACATGGCTTAAGCCTATTCAATAAAATAAGGTTAAAATCATATCCTGAATATTTAGGTAGTTTAGTTTCCTAATATTTATATCTAGAAATGCTGGGGTTTTTTTTTTTCTCTGAATAGATTATGGTCGTGTACTTTTTTGCTAACCTACTGCTATCTCAGTATTCTGTCAGTATGATTTCTATTGACCTGCTCTATTTCTGGTCTGCCAAAAATATTTTTTTCTTTAGGACCTAATCCCAACCACATATCACAATTGCAGGCTATCATAAAATACTTTTTCTGCCTTCTAGCTGCATTTGTGTTCAGCCATAGGTCAGATTGCACCAATAAAATAGTGGAGATTTTCTACATTTTTGTTTCTCACCAGCATCGAGTCAGTTCCTCTAGGAACTTTAGGCTGCTTTGGATCTGGGATAAGATACTGAGGTTCTGGACTTTTTTTTTTTAATGTGCTCCTCAAGAAAGAATGGAGGAAGAGAAGAAGATTGGAGAAGATGAAATAGCTAGAACAGAAAGATTTCCTGAGCTCATGGCATGATTCAAGAGATGCTGAGCCAGGAACTACAGTGGTGTATCTTGTTCCCTTGACTGACCAGTGCTTTTTGGAAAATGCTCCCTCTTTTTTCTCCTGTGTGATTAGCCTCATTTCTGCACATCCAAAATCTGAAGAGGCCTGGGTCTTGTAGCAGGATTAAACCATGTAGCAGAGCTGGAATGTGCACATGGAACTGCAGCTTTGCAAACACTTTTGGGTACCATGATTAGATGTGTGGGCTGCAGACTGCTTGGCTATTGGATAATATATAACCCCCCAATAGTTTCCTTAAAATGCAATGATTCAGATCAAGGCAAAGAAGAAGAGATTTGGACAAGCAATAAGAAGAATGTGGTTTGGTTTTTTTTTTTTAAAGGAAAAAGGAAGTTGAGAATGAATTTAAGGTAGAACAGAAAGATGGAACAAGTTTAGATTTATGTGCAGTGCTACACATTCATAGAGTGAACTCTTAGATTAAAAGCTGAAAGTAGAAGTTCTGCAGTGCAGTGAATTGTGTACTAAGAGATCTATAGCACAGTGTGGTTGTGAAACTAAAGCATCTCTGTGCTCTCATAAAGATTGTAATCAGCAGGACGAACTTGGACTTCCATTTTTATTTCATTGCAGTGCKATTCAGATGTTGGAATTTAAAAACAACTTTCTAATTTGAAGGTGACTGAATGATATTGTTTTCTGAATGGTAGAGTTGCTCTATTGTAGGTGGATCTGCAGCAAAACTTTACTCCTAAAAAAACCCKGTTATTTTCATGGCTCATCTTAAAGGAGTAAAATAATTTCCACTRTAACTTCAATTTTCTCAGTTTTAAGCTGGACAAGAGATTGGTTTATCCCCTACACCTGAATATTAGGCTGAGGTACCTGGGTTAGACTAGCCAAAAAAGGCTGCAAAATCTTTCCATGGTTCTGTTTTCCATCCTACAGGCAATACTGCTTACTCACCCTTGTAAAGTCATTTGAGGCTTTATATCTATCACAGTGGTGTAATTAGCATTAATTCTGACCAGAGAGGGAAGAAAAAGGCTTAGAATCACTACATTTAATTTTTTTTTTAAAAAATAATGGATTCTGACTTTATTTGCATAGCCAAGTGATTTATTTCTGTACACAATATCTGTCAGAGATCCCTGTATAATTTTGTTAAGTAATGACATCTGAAGACACTATGAATTATTGTTTTGATATATATGCAATGTTCAATGTTAAGCGATTTCATGAATAGAACTGAAATGAGACACAGATGATTCATTTACACATTTATTTACTATCCTGCTTATTCTATCAGACTGAAATGGAGAACAATGCATTTATTTTACAGACATTTGACATAAATTAAACAGATATTTTGATGTTGAACAATTGTACAGACTACAACATGCATATTAATATGTAGATTGGTGCAGAAGTACTTAGTTGATCAGCAAAATCTAGTATGACAAAAATAATAATCACATTTCCTTTTTTATGAAGTTAAAATGCAGCTGATATGGAGACATTGATACGAATACYACTAAATGTGAGAAGTTGTTAGTCTAATGAAATCAAATGGTTAGTTGAAAAAAAAGCTATTGTCAAATTTCTATCTACAGAAAGAAACTAAATCAAAATGTTTCTAACAAATACAATAATAATGAAAAAAACATGTTTGATGAAATTACCATTGCAAAATGCCCTATTATTCCCTTGCCCCACCCCCAAATACAAACAATGCATGAAGCAAAAGCAGCATATTCTCCCACAAAATGTCTGGGGCATTTTGTAAAGGCAGATGAATGAGATTAGACAAGACTTATCACATATGCTTTTATCTCCTAGTGACAGTACTTTTAAAGAAAGATACGTTATTAATAGAGCAATGTATGATGAAATGTTGCTAAATCTGTAAAACTGAACAATAGTGACATTGCTATCGCCCCAAGAGAACTTGAAAAAATACTGTTGTGCTTTTTTGTTTGCAGCATTCAGAGCATTCACAGAGGAATACAAAGTTCATTAAACTCCATAAAACTAATAATAGTCATGCTACTGTATCTATGAAACTAACACAGTAATAACATATAAACATGGATTAGTACACATTTAATTTGATATTTACAGTGATCTTAAAGCAATAGGTTATGTATTCAATGCTCAGCTTCTTTGTACACTAATTCCTCCATGTTTCAGTTTATCAGCATGGCTCCTTTGATTTTTGAAAGAGTTGTACAGGTAAAACTCTGCAGAACTCTCAAAATTTGGAGATATAAATCCAGAATTCTGCATCCTAGCAGAATTACCCTTGATTGTCCCCAACAGTAGGTTTCTTTAATTTTTTTAATGTATTTTGTAATGTGTTATGAACTGTTCCTTTTGCCTAACGCTATCATGTATTGCTCCATCCTTCAGTGTTAAATGGGCTTCAGAATTCTCACTGTGTTCTGCTTAAGGACTTCAAGAACGGGCGTAAGTGTTTTGTATTCTGAACCTCTGCAGAGAGATGCTATCTGAGCAAAATTTAGAGCAAAAATATCACTTTAAGCCTTATGTCCTCCACCTTGAAATCGCTAARAGAAGTGAGATAAAGGAACAGGCTTTGTTCCTTATGTTATTGTACAAGGTATGTCCCAGACATCAGAGCAACTAAGCACACAATCAAAACCCTACTAGTTCTTCCATTTAAATCAATTTCAGCTGGTGGTCCAAATAGGAAGATATCTAGACAGGGAAGATCAGCACAAAATACTCAGGCTGGGCTTCTGATCCTCCATGACTGCACAGCAATCTGCTTTTATTCACACCATGATAAAGTAAGAGTTACTGTTAAGCTACCTGCAATCTGTTTAATCATTCCACAGATTTTRGAGTGAGTCAGTCTAGTGCTGTCTGTACTGTCTTCATCACATGTGCATCAACTTTACAGTAAATTGACTGCAGAAATGTGCAATGTATAGTTTGGTCCATACTGCAAAATGCAACTATCCAAAGGTTATCGAGAATTTATTATTTAAATGTCATGTGGATTATCTTGGGGAATGCACTGGGACCAATTTAATCTTTGGCTACATATTGCTTTTTTTATGCAATACCACTGATGAAATGGCAAAATTTTTTTGAGTAAGGGATTTAGCCAAGACTACATGGACTGAAGACAGTAGCCATGGTAGAAACCTATGTCTACATTGGCAAGTTGTACAATACAAGCAGATTTGTTGAGGAAAACAATTTGTTTGTGCTGACAATTTACACTAGGTGTATTGGGGTACAATTTTGGGCTATCTCTCATCTTGTACCAGGGCCTGAATGCTGTGCCCTGGCTGCAGCACAACTGGTGCCCTCATGGAAGAAGTTTTCTGCTTCAGCTTCATCTAAAAGTAGTCCAATTTGCATAGTGCAGGATTGCTCAGTGGTGTGAACCAAAGCATGAGCAGTGGGGATAGTTGAGAGATTCATGTCAAGAGAGCTCTCCTGATTTCCTCTAAGATGCCACTGTAAACATAGCCACAGACTTCCAGTTTCACAAGTGAACATTACTTCTGCTGATGCCAAATATATATTTAAATACTCATTTGAATTAAAGAATTACCCTTAAATTACCATTAAAAATCAATGAAATTAATTACACAGACTGCTCATAGATTCATGGTTTATGCTGATCACAGGACTAGAGTCAATGTCTAAGATAATGACAGGTTCTGCTTGGTTGATAGGTATAATTACAATAGCCTTATCTTTTYATAGATTAAATATTATCTAATACCATGGGTTTTACCTACTTTTACATAAAGAGAGCAGTAATATTTGTATGTTACTTCCTTGTTCCACAGTGGTATTCATCGGGATCTGTGTTAAGTGTTGTAAAAGAAAATTAAATAGCAATCAATAATAACAGAGGGCTCTAAAGTATCACTGCTGTTTTGGAAGAAATCTCCATTTCACTAAAGGGTAATACTTCCTAAATATCATAACTCAACATTTTAAAAAAATACTGTTTGAACCTGCAACAAAATAAATAMAAAGACAAGTGCATTACCCTACCTGCAGATGTTCCACCGTGTATGATCACTGAACAAGAAACCATCCCACAACGCAAACAAAATTTTGTCTCTCATTTTTGCCTGCTGGCAAAATGAGTTAGGAGTTTGGCTCCCAGAACATCTGATCTGTTTTAGACAAAATTTCAGCTGAGTTTAAGCTGAGTGCCACTATTAAAACTAGACTGGACAAGAGACAAATATTCACACTTAGACCGATGGGTCTCTTAATAGCATTTACGAGTCAACTGCTTTCAAAGAGCTTCTYGCAAGAACACTGAAAGCCCTTGCAGGGAGGATGGGGACACCATGGGGACACTGGTGAATTCAGAGCACTTTGCAACTAGAAAACAGGAAGAAGTGACACTCAGTTCTTGTTCCTTGGTTCAAATGCAGCAGAGTTCATCTGGCCATTTGCACCACACTACTAGAGCACTTCCCTGACAAACAAGATATACTTGTCATCTTGTTGGGTGGGTTGCCTTCTGACTGCTCCCAAGAAAAAGACAAGCTTGATATTTGGAGGRCAGTGAGAAGAAATCCAAAGATCAATAAAGACAGCAACATATGGTATCTTATTTTTCAGGAAAGTCTTCTGAAAAACAATTACAGATCAGATRTTCATGTAGCAGGAGAGTGGGTAATAGCTTCACTGAACCTGTTGTTTCTGCATTAAAAATGATGATGGAGTAGGAAGGGAATTAAATCTTTTGCCACTGGCATTTTTACCTCATTTAGTGTGAACAAGGATTATTTTACATATGTTTTATYATATTTCTTTTTATATAGCACACTAAAACATGCCTTGGTTACTTACAGTTTTCTTCTGCCCTTCTTTCCCCTTTGTTCTATTTGCATTTCTTCCTCGATCTGTGCTCGATACTTTGAAAAAAAAGGCATATTTTTTGCATTTTTTTTGCTTCTAAAATATGTTTGCATGATCGAAATATTTATTTTCTATCCAAGTGATTCAAAAATTATTTGAATGAAGAAGCCAGTCAGTTAAGCCCTGAATATTTTTAGCAGTCTGACTGTATTTACAACAGGGTTTCAAAAAGACAACTGGCTTTTGTATTGAATTGGGTTCACAGATGAGKTTGAAGCAGCTAATTAAATAACTTGAAGGTAAACCTTGAAGGAAACAGAGGCTCAGTTAACATGCAGAGGAAGAGGTCTATTTTAAAAAACCTCATTGTTTTTCAAGGAATACATTGCCCGGTATTACCTATTAGGAAATGCTCCCAAAGCCAACTGTTCTTTTGATTGATAAATATTATAGGCAAAAAMCAACTGTCTGTACACACTTTGGGTTACATAATAGTGTGCTAAAAGGCTCTTCCTGTCCGTTGCTCTAGTATTACATTAGGTATCACCTCTCTAACATCACTAATGTTTGAATYTTGAGACCAATTGTGAAGTGAGGACACAGTGCATTAGATTGCTGCATTAGCACAGAGGCTTCTATGTTCTATACAATGTAGCATTAAAAGGCCTTTTGTGTTTTCATTTAAAAAAGTGTATTTTATATAAATTCGGTAGTGCAAAAACTTCCTACACCATGTTACATTCTTTACATTATACACTTCCCCTGTAAACAGCTTTCCTGTAGGAACTTCCTTTGCAGTTTGTGCGATATATTATTCCCCCCCTGCTCCTCCCCACCCAGATTTGGATTAATGTGACTTACTCAAAAACTCTTCTAATTACTCTGTGAACATTTTTAAATATGTGCATTTGGTTTCATCATTGAAAAGGAATTAAAACTTTGATTCAGGATTCTGTAGTTAGTAAAAAATATAAAAAATAGATTAATTGCAAAGCTATCTCCCTGAACATTCTTCATTTTCCAGTAATACAAGGAGTCAGACCCTTTTCACATGCAGAAAGGAGTCACTTCTTCCTAAGACTCCATAAGTTGCTTTGAAATTGCACAGCTGGCGTTAGAGACTGACTTCAGAACTCAGACACCTTCTCCCCTTACTGTGGCGAATGGGTAATAARTCCGAAATGGCTTCAAAGTTTTAGAAAACCAGAAAAATATACTTGCGTAATTTTGCATAATTTGCTGCATACCAGCTCATGATGAATCAAGCAATYCTGGCCTGCACTTCTTGCACATTCTGTGCTGGATAGAAAGCTAGATCCACTCCTGCAACTGTTCAARTAGATGTTTTAATCAGGAATCATGSAAGGTAGGTATTCAAAAGTGGATCCTGTGTATGCAGTCAAGACTGGAAAAGCATGTCTTAACCTGTGCTTCTGGAAACAGTTTTCAGCATAGTCAAAAGTAGATAACAAAATTATACCAAAAGCACTTCTAAAGCTTAATCATTTTCCTTCCAGTATTTCAAAAAAATAAAGCATCTRTTAATAAAGTAAATTGCATTTCTTTTGCTTTCAAAATAAATGTGCTTCTCTGAAAACATTTAAAATACAGCAGCAAGTAAGGGCCCGGTCTTTCATCTGATTGGTATAGTTAAWGCTCCTGTTGATTTTCATCAAGAGGGAGACCATCATCCTTCTCATTTGTATTTCAGTCAGTCCCTTTTTCCACCAGACTCCCATTGGTTTCAGGGGAAATTCATCTGCACAAGGACTGAGGCCTTGACTTTATCCCWTTTGAGTTTTTAGTGATTTTAATAGGGCAGGATCAGGTTTGCATACAGTTTAGCTTGGGAGAGCTTAAGGAATCAAATCTCTGTTCCTGCACTATGTTCCCTATGGCTGGACTCCTCTCTTCCCATCAAGTGGCACAAATCTAAGGGGGTTTTCCAAAGYGTGAGGGTCACCTGGGAGAAAAAGCACACAGAAGGAACATGACACAGACCTCAGTCTCGCCAGAACAACATCTTTGTTTAAATGGGAATTTTCTGTGGATCCAGAGAATGGGACCAGGTCCCATTTGGTCTTAATTTGGACTTCATTARTTCACTAGGATGTAAAGGCAGATTGAACAGGCCCATGTGATTTCATAAAACTGCACATAGAAAATACAAATCAACACTTCAGGCATATAAAAATTGACTGGCATTTAGTTTTAGTCACTGAAAATATCTAGAAACTGAAAAATAAATGTAGAAGATTAATGACTATAAAATATTAAAGAGCTAAGTTTTGGGACAGTGAGAGACAACATGATCAAAAAGTGTTACGCAGATAACCATATAAATACACAAAACTGAATGCAGCAACAAGTTGAAATGAATTGCAATTAAAGACAAAAAAAATAGTTTTTATTTTGAGAATTAATGACCAGACATTGTTTGAAAAATTATATTCTCAGTTATTCAGATGACTGAAGAGAGACCTCAATATTATTTTGTTATAAAAATAATAAAACTTATGGAAACATAAAATTAAAATATTAAAAAAAACCCCAAACAATGAAATGATTGTGTTTTGGTTATTGTTTGGCCTAGCTMCCAGGATCAATAATTTGGGGCTCTTCAAACTTGTCTCTTTCCCATGAGCCAGGCTTGAGTGAGGTCTGTGGCATCAGCTCAGCCACTTCAAGCAAAGGGCAATGTTGCAATAATAATGCTTGTTCCTTTTCACTAAATGCATTAGGTATCTTGTTATTTAAATGACAGGAAAAGACAGGAGTAAAATTAACAGAGGTGCCCTATGGTAAGTAGAAGCCTGCTGTTCCAAACCATGCATTGGTTGGTCTAATGTACTTTTGAGTCTCTCTTAAAAAAAAAAAAAGGAATATTTTGTAGGACGTGCCTGTGTAACTGCATATATTTCCTTATGATTAGAGTTCATGAATTGAAAAAAACTTCTTATGATTTAGGGAATTATAGAAATTTATAAGCTTTAAAAAAGTATATAGCATAAGATGCCATGGATGCTGGATGAAATAAAAAATAGCTTTTTTGAGACAGTGGTTAGATGGGTGGTTTGTAATGAAAGCTTTGGTTCAGCATCTTTCTTTTACAAAGCTGGAGAAATCAGAGAAATGAAAGCTGCTTTGGCAGTTGTCAGTGGAATGATATTTTCCTTTATTTAAGTATAGTGGAAAGCCTAKACTCCATTTCAGAACAGCTATGGAAGGATGGGTTGAGGCAAGGTTGGTGAATCAAGTGATACCTTCTGTCAGTCCAAAGAATTGAACTGAAAAACACAGACAAGCTTTGGGCAATGGAAGACCTGAGGCAAATCACATGTACTTGAAGCCTTTTTTTTTCTCTGGCTGTATGATTTATGATAACAGAAGGTACCACTTTCCCCTAYAAACCTTGCCTCTTACGTCCTTTCACCACAACAGCTTCAACAACATTGCCATTGCTGACGAATGAGCACTGCATGGAGAACAAAAGGTAAGAGAACAAAAATCACATAGAAGCAAATAGCATTAAGTAAAAGGAAAAATGTGAATGTGGGAAATATTTTTTTAATACGAAGTAATATTCTAACAGGTTGAAAACTTTTGGATAGATCTGAATAGCCATTTGGCACTATTTATTGCAACAGAAAGAACTATGATTTTTTAAATTTGAAAATGGAACTTTTTTTTCTCAGTTATGAAATGTTGGCAGTTTTCTATAAAAATATCAAATGCTTCAAGTTCTGGTCATTAAATCTTTGCTTTTCCTCACAGGATCATTAATTAAACTGACAAATGCAATAACTGAAGTTATGCAAATAAAAAAAAACCATCATGATTTACAGCACAGATAAACTAAAATTCYGAAGTCCTTAATTAACAGATATACTCATGAGCTTTTTAACAGAAAGCAAGATACGTGAGATGCTTTAAGTAGAAGTTGCAATTTTGCAACATAAGTCTGTACAAAACCTCCAGGCAGCACGCTGTGAAGGAAGTATCTGTGTCCCAGGAAATGCTTTTTCCATAAATCCTTGTTAACAGTAGCTTTCCCCCCAACCCCGGACTATTTACAAATATATGCATTTTGCAAGCTCAAAGCACCTTGTTTCACATCTTTATGAGTGCATGCATTGACATTTCATCCTTTCATGTGCAAATTCTAAAATTCATTGTAACTGAGGAAAAAAAAAGTTAAAAGAGTTCAAAACCTGTCTATAATCATAAGTGAAAGGATCAAAAATGTCAGATGTTGCAGAACACTTGCTCCTAACAGAGCTCTCTTTATTGTATTCACCGTTCTTGAGTCATTTTTTTCCTGTTTTTTTTTGTTTGTTACAAAAAGCAGTCTTTTTTTTTTTTTTAATTAAACAGTATTTAAACTAAACAACTCTTCATGCCATGCAAAAATAACATTTTATGCACTTTTGTTGAGGCTTTCCATGTTTTAGTTCATAGGCATTACTAACTGTGTTTTAAGAAAAAGTATTTTTATTGCTTCTGTAACTAGTCACATGCTAGTTTCACGTGTGGGACAATAAGCAGTTTCTCCTGGACTTGAATGAATTTCTGGAGCAAATAAATGGTTTTCCATTTTGTGAGCTTCTTGGTTACTGTCTGGCTTTACCTCACCCACAGCATGGTAAATGTCTTGAGTACAGTTGTGGCTCATGCTTTTGGGTGAAGAGCTGACCTGTGCCTCCCCTGTTAAATTGTTGCCATCACTGTGTTTATCCCCACAGCAATTTGTCTTGATATCCTGTTTTTTCTCATGTTTCATACCATGTAGCTCCATAAACTCTTCTTCTTCTCCAGTGTCTATTTCAGTGAAGCTCCTCCTCTCTTTTGAAGGGAAAGTGAAAATCTTTTGTTTGGGAAAGAGAGGGGATGATCTTTTAAGAGGTCCCTGACCAAGTGCAGATGCGTCAGCACCAAGCACAGGTCGTTCACCCTGGGGGGAATTTTCTTCTAGGAGAATRGTGCTGATGTGCTGAGGGGTGGCCTGCATGAAATCTATTCCTGCTGTCACTGGCAGTGGCCTTGCGGTGCTCGGTGGAGTTTGTGGAGCACCACCTCTATTGTCTTTAAAATTAACTTTAAGTGATCTAGATTTTAATGGGTTGCTACCTTTCAGGGAGCTTTTGGGGCTTTCCATGGCAGTGTCAAAATGAAAATGGCCATGTGAAACAGTTTGGGACCCACTGCCRTCACTGATACCAGCTCTGTTGATTGGATTATAGTCAAAGGTGACATCAGTTGGAGAAAATCCTCTGTCTTTTGCAAATGGTATAAACTGAGAACTTCTTGCTCTTTGGTTTTCTTCCAGATTAACAGCATCAGTTGGAAATCTCATGTGCAAGTGAGAGCCAGGAAACAGAGAGAGAGGAGACCTCTCTGTTTCKGTGAAGTCAGTTGCACAACTGGCAAAGCTGTCGATACTGGATGTGCTCCTCATGTCCATTATGACGTCTGCAGGCCCAGCTGGCAACGGATCTCTCTGCCCTACAACTTCTTCCATTTCTATTTCTTCTTCATACGTGGGTGGCTTTGCTGACTGGTCTTGGTAACCAGCGTTAAGATTAGGCTGAGACTGAGTTTTAGTGATTTCGTTATACAGCATCTCCAGTTTTTGGGCACTGAGATGCTGTGGGCTGGAGGATGCAGCAGCATTGTTTAATTGCTCGTGGGAGTCTTGTTGACTAACTTCTTGGTACTTGTTTTCATAAGATTTGTTTGAGCTTGTTTCAGACATCGTCCTTCTGGCCCATTTCCACCGGCTTGGGGACAGGTGGCTGTCATCAGGTGTCTCCTTTGGATTGAATTGTTCTCCGAGCTTTCCTGAATCTACTGCTACATCTATCATTTCCATGCTGCGGGCAAAGGCATCTTTCAGGTTCATGGAGACWATGCTGCCGTTTCTCTTAGCTCGCTCAAGTGCTTCTCTCCTCTTAATTGCCTTCTCCTGTCTTTTCTGCTCCTTATAAAACTCAGAGAAATTGTTCACAATGATTGGTATGGGCAGGGCTATGACCAGCACTCCAGCGATACAGCAAAGTCCTCCAACGATTTTACCTAACAAGGTCTTAGGATAAATGTCACCATATCCTACAGTAGTCATAGTGATCGTTGCCCACCAGAATGACGCAGGAATACTTGTAAATTTTGTAGCATCCTCATCCTTTTCAGCAAAGAATACAAGACTTGAAAATATCATTATTCCCATGGCTAAAAATAATATCAACAAGCCCAATTCATTGTAACTCCGCCTGAGYGTGAAGCCTAAAGACTGAAGGCCTGTCGAATGTCTGGCGAGCTTAAGAATCCTTAGGATCCTCATAATTCGAAATATCTGGACCACGCGTCTGACGTTCTGGAACTGCAGGACACTTTTGTTGGACTCTGTGAGGAAGATGGTGACRTAGTAYGGCAAGATAGCCAGCAAGTCAATGACATTTAACGGGCCTTTGAAGAACTTCCACTTATTTGGTGAGGACAGAAAACGCAAAAGATACTCCATGGTAAACCAAGCAATRCACACAGCTTCAACGTGTGCTAGCTGAGGGTTGTCATTTGGCTGCCCAAATTCATCTATTTCTTGAAGCTCTGGCAGTGTGTTAAGAGACAAAGCGATAGTGGACAGTACGATGAACAGAATGGACACAATGGCCAAAATCTGTAAAATAAAATAAACAATGTTTTGGTTAGACTGATACAAATGTACTTGTCAGGGTTTGAGTAAATCCTTTCAAATGTACATGTGTCAAATAAACACAGAATGGCAGAAGGTGTTTTGGCTGCTGCACTCATTATTGTTTCATTATTTTGAATTTTGCACAGAGAGAAAACATTACACTCATCTTAGACATGGTCAAAACCTGATTGCTTTACTGTCTGCAGTAAGCCAATTCATTTCAGAAAGCAAGCCACAACTGGTCTTACCATTTTAAAATTACAATAGGAGGTGATATTTATTATTGCAAGTCTCTGAGTGAAGGATATATAGTTCCTGCCAATGTGCAGAACATGATAAATTTTCTGCATTAATTGTAATTATGTAAAACTTTACGTGGTGTGGAGAATTGATTGGGGAATACCATGTGTAAGATGGTAATTCAGTACTACACAGTGCACATTTTCCTAGACAAACATAAATTTATAAGCTGAAAGTCAAAGGTGAGGAGAAAAAACAGGAAACATTGATCAGGAGACTAGTCCTGCTGAATTGTCATGTCTAGACAAATTTTAAATGCTACAAGAATTGAAGGTATTGGTCCTGAATTAGGGTGAGAGCAAGATGTTAGAAAGTAAGTAGCATGAAGGTGAATCGAGTTTCTCGTAACTATTAAAATGTGTAAGTAGACAATGGCTTCCAAKAAATAAAGCTTTGCTTTCTGTCTAAGGAGATAAGTTTTATAATATATTTTGTCACTCATTTTCGTAGAATCATAGRATCACAGGATCATAGAATCACAGAATCACAGAACCAAAGAAACATTAAGGTTGAAAGAGATCTCTAAGACCAAAAAGTCCAATATTTGACTGAACACCACCAGGCCAACTAAACTATAGCACTAAGTGCCACATCAGTTGTTTCTTGAACGCTGGCCATTACCAGAAAGTTTAGTTATTTRCATTCTAAGTAATACGAGCAGCTTTGAGACAGAGTCCAAAGTGTTGATGTGATACAAAAAATTGTAAAAAATACATTGTTTTGGTTGGAAGTCCTAATTAAATACAGATTTTTATTAGAAATATTAAAATAACTTGTCTKCTGTTTTAAAGCTCAGTTTAAGCTCATTCATAAAAGCATTTACTTTCATTTCTCAGAAATGGTGCTGTTCAATCTATTTGGTGATGTTCCACTAAGTCTGACGAAACTGCTGGAGCACCCAAGAAGAGTGAAATGCAGGTAAGAAGAATGCAAGTGTGAGGGTGAGGGATTTATGCAGAGAGACTGGTCACAGTGGTGATAACGGCTCCAGAGATAGAAAGGCCACCTCACTGTAGCTTTGAGAAAAGTAGCAGTAAACGTGTTTCATCTCTAGGTTAACAGCTCTGTAAGAACAAACTGAAATTACTCATGGTGTGAAGTGTGTATTTGGCATCATGTTGTACTTAGGTGCTATCTTTGGGCTTTTTTCTACTACTAAAAGTGCAGAATGAGTATCATATTCTAAAGTATTGGAATGTATTTATTTGTATTTTTTCTCTACCAGTGCTGCTTCTGGTTTTTTTTTTTTGTTTTTTTGGGGGTTTTTTTTTTTGTTTTGTTTTTTGTTTTTTAAGTATATTTATTGGAGAAATAAGATCTATTCATTTCTCCTGCCAACTGAGTTGTGGACCATCTGTCTTTGCCCTTCATACAGCCCATTCAGAAGATATCCTTASGTTAATTTATCCTATTTAGGTGGGCTAAAAACTTCTTAAACTAAAATCTTCTGCTACCAACATCAGCAAAAGAAGCCAATCTTAGTAAAGAGTGAGGGCAATTATAGTACATATGTAGGCAGGGCTGATTAATGAAATTTGTAGCTAGGATTGAGGCAGACAAAAGGCAAGACTGTAAGAGAGCAATAACTACCTTTCAAACTGTGAAAGTTGCCTGTATCAGATTTCACTGTAATAAAGTTGGAAGCTTAAATAAGGTGTTCTAGGTTATCCACTTCACCTAAACAACTGTGAAACAGCTAATGCAGGCTTGAGCTCTCTGAAGTACTCAATAACATAATTATACTTTCAGAATTTACAGAACAAATGAGCAAGGCACAGGTCTCAATTGTTGAGCTTGCAATTTTCTCTCAAACTCATTGGGGCCAGAATCAGAATTTAAATAACAGGATTGGAAAAAGCCATGTAATACCAGGATCCAATTACTTGACATGCATTTTTCTTAGGAAAAAAAACAAACAAAAAAACCTGTAAGAATGTATCTGCCCAACTGTTGTCAAACTGATTTTAATTAGGAAACACTGGCATTTCAGTCTTTCATTTATGTCTAAATGTTCACCARCATACAAAAGATCCTTGAAAAGAGGTGAGTCAGTGAATAGCACCCCCTCTTACACCATGTGACGTTTCTAAAAACCATGCATTTTATAGATCTTGGRCACAAAACTTTCCTGTTCAGAGTTGCCACCCAGGGTGTTTTATTRAAAACAAGCATCTATCTATTTGTTCCAGCCACTCATTCATATGCTGGAAACACACAAGCCTGAACTCTGCCAGCTTTTTAAATAAAATATACAGTACAGCAAGCCTGGAATTGTTAATGTTTTATTCATATAATCTATAAGCATGTGTCTGTTCTCAGTGAAAAAAATTTACAGCAAAGTAAAGTAGTTTGGTTTCTTCYAATGTGAGAATCTCAAGCTTTTATTTGTTTGGGACTTTGTTGTGTAATTAAAGCGGTGCATCATTCCACACACAGTATGTTTTAATTATTGCAATTGATTAGATTTCACAACTCATTAGGCAAAAAAATGCCAGGGGAGAACTCAGAAGAGCAAGAGGAAACATGAGAAAAAGATGAAGAAAAGAACTCCCTATTCAGAGTCTACATAAAGAACACTTTCAGATAGTACAATGCTCGTAAATTCTCATAGAACAGTTGAAAATGGTATTAACAGAAGCAAAGAGTTTATAAAAAAGACCTGTAGCAATCTTCCAGGCTGGCTATGCCAGTACAGAAGAGTAAAAGAAACCAGCACTGACTGAATCTTTCCCAGCAGAACTTCCTGTTTSTTATGTATAAAAAATACGTAATCAACAGGAAACTGTATTCGGGACTGAAATGCCTGAAAAACTATCCTGGACTGAAATGCCTGGAAAGCTTCTGTGCTTCAAGTAATTAATCTATGACCACAGTTCTTGACATAATACTTTAACCTGCATTTCAGAATATAAACAGTACTCTGTTAAATGACAGATTATGGCATGTTATGTCATTTAGCACATAAAAATCCAGATCCTCTTAAACTTCAAAAGTATTTCCTTATAAATGGCAATTTTTTTCTAAAAGAGTGGACAGATTTAAATTTGTTTCTTAGGGGCTGGGTATGAGGCATTTTAATCTGTTGATGATACAATGAGTAGTGAAACACTCCTTGAGTTAATGATGCAGTGTTAACAGCTTCCCCCAGACGCTGTTGTTTCTAATTCTTGGGGGGCAAGGACTGCTAGTAATCTCCTGAAAATGTAATTGTTTTCCAATATTAAATGGCCACTAAAAATTGTTCTTTTTTCCTGTGCACCCATCTCATTGTTTGTTACTGCCAGCAGCGTGAGGAATTCTGCACAAAACAGGCATGGAACTGAGGCAGAAAATAAAGGTGTGATGGAATAGCCTTCAAATTTCTCCTTGCTATTCTGCAACATATGATTTGTAAATTTTATGATATGTGAAAAAGATTCGGGCAGGATTGACATGCCAGTGTAATTTCTGTACACAGCAGAGAAAAAGTATGCATCAGGTTCACACTAAAATACAACTGCTGAAGGGAAGTTCAACTGAACTTCTACCCTACTGGTCAGCCAGTCCAAGATGTTTSATTAATGTAGGTTTCAATCTGGAATCAGATGAGACTTTATTAGTAATGGTGTTTCCTTAATATTTTTTTTTTTKTTTTTTTAACCAGGGTGGGATCTAGTGGAGAATCTGGACTACTTAACTAATAGACAGCAACATAGTCTCATACTTTTCAAACTTCTAGCCTCCACAGACACTAAAAATTATTAGGCATATTCTCTTCCTGCATTTAAATGCCTGATATTGTCTTCACATAAAGTTCCCTGACCGTATCTTTAGCTCTGCCTTCAGAGAACCTCAGAAAAAACTGCTGTTTTGCAGCTTTTGAAAGGCTTCTGGAGAACTGTATCAACAGAATCAGAAGTATCTGCTCTTGGGAAAGAAGTGTCTTGATCTAGATTTGAGCAGATAGATAGCTGGAGTTGGTCTGAGTTTTTCAGATCAACCTGAGAGCTGCCAAGAGCTGTAGCCTGCAGCCCGTGCTGGATCTTGCATGGMAGAGTCCTTAGCACAGAACTCCCAGCTCCAGCCAGACATTCCACACCCTCACAGCCACACTGGCAGGAACACAAGGTCACATCATGGACATTTCCATTTCTCTGAGGGAGTAAGCCCCTGAAAGTGGAAGACATATTGAGAGACTTGATCASAAGTTTATAGAAATTAGTTTACATCACCAACATTCTTTACTGTCAGGTGTCTTCAGGTGCTTGGTCAGGAGACATGAAAAAGGAGACAAATAGAAACAAATCCTACTAGGATTTGCTCCAAAGTGGAACACAATGGAGTTATGGCAAGCCTKAATCATGCCAATTCTAACCAATCTCAAAAGTCCTGCAACAGTGAAAATTATCAAAGATAAGTTTGCAAATGCTTCTTGTCTTAATTGGCAGAAAAAATAATTTCCAGTTACTAAAAGAGTTTCATTTTTGAAAAAGAAGAGACAGGAATAATTTAACAGAAAAACACAAATTTAGTGCAGCTTACAGCTCTGTCACAGCTGCCCTTTCAGGAGCATATCTGATAATAACTGACAGCATGTGCAATCACTGAACAGCTTCCTCTCTGCTGCTCTTGATCTCCTTCCTTGATGACATTATTTAGAATTCTGACCTTTCATTTCCCCCTTTTCCTAGATTAGTATTATT